GATCGCCCGCCAGAGCGAGGCTGCAGCTGCTCTCGGCACAACCCGCCGGGCACCACGTCAGAAGAAACTCGTCTCCCTGCCCCGTGCCCGTGGCTGGAGCTGACCCCCACCACCGCCGGCTCCTCCGGTGCGTGCTGAGGCAAAGGAGAGGGGACAGCCCGGAGCGTCCCAAATCCAAACCCTCACCGTCACAGCCCTGCTGTGCTCTCCCGGCTGGGGTGGCCCCGCTGACCCCCGCAGGTCTCTTCGGAGCCACGGCTTGCTCCAGGCTCCCACCAGTCTCCTGCCGGACCAGGCGCTCCAGTTCCTCATATTCAGAGACCATGGCAGGAGTCAGGAGGTTGGCAGCCTTCAGGAGGGAATACTGCTGCCGGACAACACTCAGGATGGTGGCCATCAGCCTGGGACAGAGACAGACCCAAGAACCCAGTTAGCAGGTGAGCTTGAGCCAGTGTCACCAGTAACAGAGGCTCAGCACCACCAGTGTCACCTCTGAAACACGTCCTTGGGCGGGCCAGAGCCTGTTGGCAGAATTTTGGGCCAAGAGAAGCAAACTTTGAAAGCTGCGAGGTACCCAAGCTGTGACTCTCTTACTGGAGAACCTGAGCTGCGAGTTTTATGTTCACCTGTTGGTTACAAGGGACCAAATGGCATCCACGGACTTTTTGCTGGGCTTCAGACACTCGGTAGCTCAGCTAGAGGCATCAGAGACCCAGGCACACGTCAGGGCCAGCCCCCCTCAAAAGACCTTTCTAAAGAGGTTCATTCTGCCAAGACGCTTGGGGCAGAGACATCAGCAGATGGTGCCACGGGAGCCCTGCCAGGGCAGGACCTTGGGGAGCCGATGGAGGAGGAGAGGCTTCACTGAGGTAATTTCAGGACTAACGACGCACACTTAAGGCTCACATAGTTGCTGTGCCCGGAAACCTTAATTGCTGGCATTTCCAGGAGAGATTATCCCATGGGATTCGATCCCAAGGGAGCCAAACCCCTTCTTTTAGAGGGCAGGCAGTCATCTGCAAGCAAAGACCTGGTCCCACATCCATCTAGCCCGTCCTCAGGATGGCAATGTGCAACAGGAGGGTGGACAACCCGTCCTCCTCAGGCAAACAAGAGGACATTCATGTGGGGACACTCACGTCTCTGTCTGGCTGCTGGAAAACTTCTTTGGTTCCACCTGGAGATCTGTCTGGTGGGTTGCTCTGGGGCTGCTGCAAGGCATTTCCTCTGGAGCCTGGAGCAATCAGCCAAAAATCCTTATCTATCTAGCCTAGGGTTAGCCCATATTTGAGCTGAGTTTGGTCCCCAAACTCCCTGTTATCTGGGACGTTAAGGAGTTTTGCTAGCAATCCACAGGCCAGCACAGGCTGAGCCAGGACCTCACAGACTTAGCTGAACTCCTGCCCTCTCCCAGCATGCCCAGTGTACCCCTCGAGGGTATTTGAGCCCCACTGGCCTCCACTAGGCCCTGCTCATCATGCCAAGCCCTCCTGCACCACCTACCCTTTCTCTCACCTCCTCCTCCAACTCCATCTGCATCTGGACAGGCAATCCAGCTTCCAGCTCCAGCTGCTCTCCATCACTCTCCCTCTGACCATCCAGGGCCGAGCCTGTCTTTGGGACAGCTTCCTCCAACCTACAGAAGTTAGAGAAGAAGCCACTGAGCCAGAGAAGATCCAGTGGGGAAGCCATCACGTTCCCTAAAAAGTTTCTGGATGGGTCAAAGAAGATTTGGGATTTGCAGCTTCCCTTGTGCGCTGTGGTCTGTCTTCACAGCTACACCCAGCCACAGTCAGGATGATGGTGCCCCCCAGCAGAGAGGCTCACCTGCTCTCTGACAGACCCCTGGGCTCTGACCAGCGCTAAACCCCTGCAGCCTCCTGACACGGGGGGGACACCAGGAGATCACACCAAGCTCTGTCCCTCCTCCCCACCAGCCTCACCTGGGCAGCCCCACTGCGCTGGAGCTCAGGGGAACTGGCAGCGCCGGCGCCTGGTTCTGCGACTCCCGGGCAGCGTCCTTGCAGGCACGAAGCTTCACCCGCAGAGCTGCCACCTGCGAGGGAGGATGATCTGCTGCTTGGATGGTTTCGTGACTCCAGGAGCTGGGAGGTCCGTGCCCCAAGCAGACCACAGGTAGAGACAGAACCCTGCCCTCCCCGCCAGCACCTCACCTCCGCTTTCAGCCGCTCGCAGGTCTCGCAGTATTTACTAACGTGGCCGTCATAGCTGATCACGTTGCTCTTCAGCTGCAGAGACAGGGACGAGGCAGAGGTTAAAGAAGCCCTGGGGCAGCACGTACCCCTCTCCTGATGCTGGAGCAGGGCAGCTCCTCAGCCTCCTCCAAGCTCCAGGGTCCCCAGGGTGGTTGTGGTGGACACGATCTGCGCTCAGGGACCTGCTGCCGCAGTCACAAGCCTTTTTGGGCTCTGGGCTAAACAGCTTCAGCAGAAGACCAGGCACACGCTGGCTGCAGCTTCATCAGCTGCTTGCTGCCTGCAGGGGCACCCCCAGGGCTGGAAAACTCAATCTGGAGAAGGGAGGCACCCACTAATCTACCCCACCACGCCCCAGGCTCCTTCCCACCCGCCCCCAGCAGGTGTGATCACCACGCTGCAGATCACCACGAGGTCCTCACCGACAGCTTGATCTCCTTGGCCCGGCTGGCATACTTGAGGGTGTTGTAGGTGTCCTCGTAGGCCAGCGCGGAGGGACTCACCGCAGCCACCATGACGGTGCGGCACCGATGGAGTCCTTCAGCAAGCGCGTGAGCTTGCTGTCCCTGTACGGGACGTGGGTTTTCTTGCTCTGCACCAAGAGATCAAGGGTCTGCTCAGCTTTCGGCCCTTGGGCGCTCAGCTCCGAGCCCTGCCTCACAAGGGGATGGCCACGCTCATCCCACAGCACCTCTCGGAGCCCAGGCTGCCTCACGCCAGCTCGGCCATCACTTGACACCCCCCATTCACCCTTCCCAGCGAGCCAGAGCCCGGCTCTATGCGAGCAACAGCGTTACCTTCGCGTCAGCCAGCGCGTTGATGACGTTGATGAGGGCCAGCAGCGAGCGGTTGATGTTGGCTCCCTCCCGGAGCCGCTCTCCCTTGGTGTTGGCGACCGAAGCTCGCTCTGAGCCTGCCAGGTCGATCAAGCTCATCTTGGCCACTTGCAGATCCCGGGAGTGGCCGCCAATGCGGTCCTGCTGCTTCACATAGATCTGCAAGGGCAGAGACGGGTGAGGCTGCGGCTCAGCCAGGCAGGCGGGGGGGCGGGTTGGCGCCGGCCTCACCGGATTCAGTGTTTATAGAGGGATGGCGAGGTGGATCACAGGCTGTGAGATCGAGCAGGGGGAAGAGAGGAGCCCGGCACGCCGAGAAGACAAGCTGAAAACTCGTCAGTGACGCGAGCACCAATGCCACGGAAGGGATCTCGCAGGAAGCGACAGAGCCACGAAAATAAGCAGCAACTCTGGCGCTCGGGGAGCCAGCGGGGTACAGCTGGTCGGGTCCCCGGAGGGGCGCGCC